CACCCTATGCTACTTGATGAGGATGTTTATTCCTCCTTAATGTAGTACAACCACTTGTATTATTTTATCATATTACTATACTAAATGTATTGCAACTGCACTAAATACATGTATGTAAACCATACAGGTATTAATGAATCAAGATATCAAGATAATGATGATGATAACAATTAAACAAATTAAACTTATGTGGACAAATTTAGGGGTTGATATACATGGTGTACAAATATAGTACAAAATCATTTAAGGATAATACCTTGATTACCCTAATGAAGAGCATTCTGAATCTCCCTTATGAATATAGGTAAGAACCATCACTATCTGATTCAGAGGAGGGCAGAATCTTGCCCTCAGAAGACAAAGTTATCATTTTAGTCAGTGGGCCCTTGTTTTCACTAAGGCTAAGTAAAGACAGTAAAAAAGCCTGAGGCTGAATTTATTCAATCACTGCAGGTTAGTCTAAGCTGAGTAGATTGCACTGATAAACAAGGGAACAGACATTCACTTTTAATTCAAGAAATGTATCCACATGCCTGCAGTGGCCCAGGCCAGAAGCTGGAGGGGGTGCTGGAGCATGCCTCCCTGCTCAGCTGGAGCAGACAGCTTGGGCCATGGTTAGCCCACCCACCCTGTAAGAGGGAGGGTTTGAGCAGGGTGTGAGGTACAAAGCATCTAGGGATGCTGGGGGACTGTGAGTTAACTTGAATCTGGAGGGGATCTGGGACAGAAGTTCAATAAACCAATTTAACCTAAATCAGTTAAGTCTGATACTACACCCATCCAGGTTCATCTTAAACTAGCTTTGGCCATTTTGAAAGCAGTTTGTGTGCCCTGAACTTCTGGGCTAAGGACAGACTTTCAAAAAGCTGGAGCCTGAATTGATTCAATTTTTGCAGTTTAGTTTAACCTGAAAAGATTGAACCAATTTGTAAGTTACTAGACATTCAGGAAATGCAGGCACATGCCCGCAGTGGTGCAGGCCAGAAGCTGGGGGGTGCCAAAGCAGCCCTCCCTTACCTTCAGCAGCAGCCACAAGGCTGGAGGGAAGCTGACTTGGGTAGCATGGCCAGGCCTCCAGCAGGGGCTAAGAATGATTGCAGAGAGGTTTAAACCCAAACCTTGGCCTTTAGGGACCCCAGTCAGGGTGTGCCTGCAGGGGGAGAGGGGAAGCAGCCCTTGCCAGGCTTGTCCCCAAGGCCAGACACTGGCTGGGGCAGTGCCTCAGGTGAAGGGAGGCTGTCTCCAGGTGGGCATGGGACCCCAGCTGGGGTATTCCCAGCTTTCCCCCCTATTTGGGTGGCAGTAGGCCTGGTAAGATCTGGCCAGCATGGCCCTGGTAGCTACCAGGGATGGGACTGTGGCTGTTGCTGGGGCTGTGGAGCGGTGGGTCTGAGGCTGTGAGGCTGACCTGAGCCGGGGGGTGCTGGTGAGGGCAGACACAGAGGAGCTGGCCCAGGCTTGACCATGGGGACTGGGCCCTTCCCAGTGGGCTGCAGCTCCTCCCACCTACCAAGAGCAGGGCCAGGGATGGCAGCAACAGTGGCAGTGGGAGCTGGAAGCAAGGGGGTCAAAACAGCCTGCCTGGTCCTGGCCAGTGCACAGCTTTTGATGTGGCCAGAGCCACCAGCTGCTGCACAGGGCAGGAGGAGCAGTGGCTGCCAGGCTTGGGGCCCACTGGCACTTCTGAGCCACCCAGTCAGGTGGCTATCTAGTCAGTCCTCACCTGTGCTGCTGGGCCAGGCTGTCAGAGCTGCAGATGTTGGGCAGGGCTCAGCCCAGCTGGCTGCAGCCCCATGACAGTCCTGCTCAGCCTGGGTGCGGGGAGCCAGGAGCAATCTGGCTACACAGCCCTTACCTGAGCTGCAGCTTGCTGGGAGGGGTCCAGACCCCACAGCCCAGCCCCTGCCAGCCCCTCTGCCTCTGCTCAGCAGAACCACCTGGCTTAGCCCTGCAACTCCAGCCTCAGCTGCTGGTGAGACAGGCAGATGGCAGGGCCATGCTGGCCACCTCTGGCCATTCTCCCTCTCCTACCACTGGAGTGAAGAGGGGGGCAAGTGTTGATGGGCTGCTCCACTGCTCCAGCCTGGCCAGCAGACCCGTGCTGCCAGTAGGACAGGGGATGCAGGGGGAGATTAAATCTCCCTCCCTCTCCCCATTTGCTTCAGGCTGTGGACGGCAGAGGCCTGACAGGGGCTGCTACACCCTGGCCATGCAGACCCTGGCTGTAGTCCCCCCGTGGGAGAGGGGAGGGAGTGGGGAATAAGCCACCTCCCTGCTCCCTTTGTCTCAGAGGGCCATGCCAGCCAATGTCTAGCCATGTACCACCCCACCTCTGCTCTGGGTAATGAAGCCCAGGGCTGAAGAGCATGCTGGGATACTGGGGGGCTCTGGTTTAACTCAACCCAGGAAGGGGTCTGGGACAGAAGTTGCATAAACTGGCTTGACCCAAATCAGTTCAGTCTTATACTATTACATTCAACCAGGTTCATCTTGAACCAGTTTCAGCCATTTTGAAACTGGTTTATGTGCACTTACGTTCTGTTACAGGTTTAAACCAGTGTCTTATCACTTAAATGGTTTTATATGTAACTTCTGTCCCTAGCCCTGTTGCGTTATAGATTTGAACTGGTTTCCAATAACTTATACTGGTTTATGTGTAATTTCTGTCCCTAACCTAAGAGTGGACAGGACATGTGTAGGGATGAACTGGCAAAAGCTTGCATTATGGATAATGTGAATGCATGGCAAGGCTGTTCCTTTTTCCAAGTATGTAATCATCCAGTGCTTTTTTAACATAACAGTGTATAAAACTCCATTTTCAAGTTCATTCAAGACAGTGGGAGTTCATCTGTAATTTTCAGTTTACTTTGGATGAGATCCTGTTTAATACCCAGTTAGATACCTTTAACCATGCACAAAATCCTTTATTGCAACAGCAATTTATAGGGTGATTTTCCAAGATAGTTTATTTTTACTTTCCTAGTGCTTCAGACTTTAAGCCCAGGTTCATGCTATACAAGGTACTAGGTTCCTGTATATGTAAGTATATCTTTACTTTTACTGGATCTTAGGCATCTGTGAAGTAGCTCAGACAAAATAGAATGAGGCCTACAATTCTGTTAATAGCTTGGGTGTAAGTCAAATGAGCCTCATCTGAGATCCTAAATATTCTACTTCCATTGTGCTAATTTTTCACACCTCTGAACTTCCTATTTCTTGTTAGGACAAAATACAAAATTCTCAAATATCAAGATAAAACATCAAGGTAAAAAAATAACCTTAAAATAACATGGAACCTACTACCACAGCAGAAATGCTAAACAGAAATGGGGGATACAATCTGGGATATTACTGTGTAGCCTGTTCCTAAACAGATATTTACAAGTTATATATACATTTTGACATGGTTGTTGGAAAAATTTGTATTCCACTTCATGCCAATTAAGTCTGAAGCTGAACTTGTACAATATTTATCCTCAAATTGCTGCACCTAGAAAGCAATTAAATAACTGCGTGCTTATCCAGACTGAACTCAAAACTAAAAAATGCACTTGGCTTGTCCATCATCAAGTATTAAAAATACCAGAATTTTAAAAATACTATGTGACACTAATTATTAAATATAGATTCCTCCCAGTAGTCACATAACTATGGAGTTAGGTACCAACAATCTAGTCTACACCTAATTTTGTTGCTATTTCAATAAGTGGTACATTTTTTTCCAGTTCAAGCCATAGTGTTCCTTATATCAGTGTATCTTATTTCCCTTCTTCTACAAGAACACACTATATTAGTACAAGGCACTTTTATACCGGTGTACTTAGAATCACACTAAGTGGGGTTGTACTACTTTAATTACCTGGGTCTGGTTAAAACAGAACCTAGATACTTCTTAGGGTTAGGCTCCTTATCCCCTGAAAAGATGAGGATCTGCAAAATAGTCTGGAGCAGGGGTTGTCAGCTGGGGGTACATGTACCCTTGGGTGTACCTGGGAGGGCCCCAGGGGGTACACAGCAGTGGCATGGAGAATTGGGGCCACCAGCACTTTGAGTGCTACCGGCACTTCCTGTTTCTGAATCTCCTCCCCAACCCCCACTCGTCAATCAGCCATTGGGGTCTCCCTGCTTCTCAACCAGCCACTGGGGGTACACTGATGAAAAAAGGTTGAAAACCCCTGGTCTTGGGTATACAGATCCTCAGGAAATAGCTATGCAGCAACACTGACCTCCAGCTGATCACAGAAACACTGTCCTTTGAAGTAAAAGCCACAACAAATGGCTGCATGGCTTGTCCTTAATTCAGCAGCTCACTGCTAACTGAGCTGTGAGCCACCTGGATACAAATCATTCAGGTTCTACTATAGATAGTAGACAAGATCTTTATGTATAGACAAGACTGTAAAAAGAAGCCTTGTCATCAGAGGAGCTGAAAACCTGCAGCAGCTGTTAACCTTCAAATCACCTTTATTAAGCTACCTAGATATAGATTTAAGGGCCTAACTGAAGTCACCTATTTGAAAATGCTAGCTCATAGGCACTATTCAGTGAAACTGAGAAGGATAAGAAATGAACATAAAAAAAAAAATCAACCCCAACCCCTCCTCCCTCCACCAATATCCCGTATTTTTTTAAAAACAAATTACAAAAACCACTTTTTAAATATTTTTTGTATTGCTATGTCTTGAGGATTCTTTGCTTTCTGCACAAATGCAACATAAGATATCAGCAATTCTGTTTTCTGGCTGATCGATGTCTGCTGTTTCATATTTTACCCTGCTTCCATTTCTCTGAGGTCAGCAATATGCCATGGTGTCATCAATTCACCATATTTATCAATATGCCAAACTGATAAATTTTAAGGAAAAAAGGCAAACTGGCCAGAGGCATAAGTAAGAATTTTGGTGCCTTGGGTGGAAATGCCAAGGAGCAAATGGGAGGGTAGAAGGGCTGCCAAACACAAGGGAGTCTTACCTGAATCCAGATGTTGTCGCATGGTCTCCCTACACCTGGACTGCTACTGAAGCAGCACAGGCAGACTACAGACCACCATTCAGGTGCTTCCTCTAAATCAGCACCCAGGCCTAATGTTATATTTTGCCCACACCTAGTTATGCTACTGAACCTGACCTTCCTGAATAAGGCATGCAGTCGAATTTCACCCAACATGTAGCAGAAGTTATGGGCTCGATGTAGAACAACTACAGCATATGTAGTTACATAAATATATTTTTCCTGATTGCAAGACTTCAAGCTATGGAGAATCTATTTTTCTATACATGCTGTCCCAGTGTCAACTGTTGAAAAATTGTATTATTCTAGTCTAACACAAGTTCTTTGAGACTAGGACTTCCTCCTTCTATATTTGGAAGTACTTAGCACATTTTGTAACCAATCTCAATAATAGAAATAATTGGGACCACTGTGGTTGTAAACCATGGACAAAAGGCTATTACAGTGTTCCAGTATGCATCTGGCAGAATAGTCAGTTGTCTTTTTTTAGAACCATCTAAAATGAAACAGAACCTAAACAACCATGGGCCTAAAACATTGCCTATGCAAATATCATGATAGGCACGAGTCAGAGAACAAGCAATGATGTTTGATACTATAAATGATTTATTGCTATGTTTGAAGCAATTACTTATTTAGAACTGGTGAAGGCATCACTAAATTATGAGCATCTTTGCATCGAAGTGGCAATAAGAACTCTACCTCATTGCATATGTTTGCATTTTTTTTCTTTTTAGAAAGCTCTTTTCTTCCTTTTTCCTGGACCTGTGATGACATGGGGGGGAAGGGGTACCATTTAGTAATGTTTGTAAGTGCAACAAAATCAGTTTATATGATACAGCTTATAGGTATGAGCTACAATATTTGATTTTGGATATGGAATCTCCAAAGTGATGGGGTTTAATGCAGGCCCAACATAATAAAAGTTACGTTGGATCATTATTTTGCCTGGGCTTAAGAAAGCAGAACTTAAAGTTTGCTGTTGCTACTAAATTGTGTAAGAAATATACAAAGATCCAAAGTCTCTGGACTGAATGCCAGACCTGTGACCAGTTAACTACTGACTCAAAAAATGTGGACACGGTAATGTGACTTTACCCTAGCCAATTGAATTACCTTTAGTTAGTTACATGCCCTAGCATTTGCTCTGAACTGATTAACTTTCCATCCAATGTAATTTAGATCTCATGTGTAGTGCTTGCTATACAGAGGCAATGCATAGGAGGTGCACGCGGGTGCATGTGCACCCTCTAAGTATGGCAGTGCCCCCCCCTACAAAAAGGTGCCAGCAGTGTCTGCAGGTGGTCACCGACCCCTGGTCGGCGCTTGCCACCTGCCCCCCCGCCACTGACAGTACCAGTGATGTCTAGGAACTCCCTCTTACTGCTACTGCACTCCCGCTGCTGCCATGCCCCCCCTCCCCCACCCAGCCACCGGAGGCACATGTTGTTTGTATTGCTATATATAAGTAAAGTAGATTTTAAATGTTCATTTTTAGCATGAATGTAGCAGGGCACTAAGGTGCCTGCTACTTGGAGAGCCGGGATAACCACCCAGGTGCAGGTTACCAGGGCGACCCGAGGGAGATAAGGACCCACACCTGCCTGGTCAGCTGGCCGGAAGGGGCAGGGCCTGGCTCCTATATAACTCCCAGGCTGAGGCCAGGCAGGCAGTTCCCTGCTAGCAGCCAGAGGGGAAGGAACTCTGCCAGAGCAAGAACATAGAAGAGGCCAGAATGCACGAGCAGTTGGTACAGGTGAAGGAGGGAGCACACTTGGGGGTGGCTTGAGTGATGTTGTAGCCGATTGGCAGAAATTTATGTTATAGCCTCGGGGCTTGAGTTCTGTGTTTACTGTTTATGACCGGAGGTTTGGGTGAGGCTGTTAGGGGTTGGAGGAGGCCTCATAAGGGGACCCATGGCAGAGTGGGAACCCCAGCCTCAGAAAAGGGGGCCACGATTCTACGAGTGCCCAGAGAGGCGCGGTTGCGAGACAAGGGCTGTGGAGAGCCCGAGCACCCAGAGAGGCACGGTTGCGAGACAGGGGCTGTGGAGAACCCAAGAGCTGAAGAGCGTGTAAGACTGAATAATGTCCAGTATATCAGCGAGGCTTGGGGCATGGTAAAGGGATGGCTGGAGCCACGCACAGCCCATAAGGCTGGGGTGTGCAGGAACACGCATTATTGAAACAAGACTAATGTACAGGAGGAAACCCGTGTCCAGGGAGACGAAGAGGCAGCCTCCCTATAATATATATAAGAGCAAAGACATGGCAGGTGAGAATAAAGGGTGCTTTGTAGGCAAACAGGACATGGTAAGGGGCACTAGGGGAGAGCACGGCAACCCTAGGACGCCCCTCCTGCTACAATGAAAATTCAACTTTAATTCTAATCTACTATGGTATCTAAGTGAAATACTGGACTGCCTGGAATTTTTGGCTTTTCTGAGTAATAATAATTTCTTGCAATAATATCAGGGTAGCGGTTGATAGTCAGTCTACATCAGATTCAATCCAAAGGTTTAATGGAGTTCTGTGAATTATTCTTAGCAACTTAACCCTGCAACCTATACCAGTCCTGTTAATAACATGCAAATGAATAGAAAGCTAGTCCAGGTTTGAAAGTTGTTGGCTTCCTTTAAATGTAAAGCAAAATGGCAAAAACATTTTGGAAAGATGCTTTGTAGAATCAGAAAGGTATTTTCTATATAACTACCAAAAGTATCTTGGGAATTGTCTTCAAAGAGACATAGCAATTGTAGCAGCCCCTTAAGTCATCTAAATTTATCTCTCTGAAAAACGCACAATGGATTTTAAAAACTAAATCTGTTGCAAAAATTTCACAGTGGAGAATCTGGCAAACTCCCTTTGCTGCCATGGCAAACATTCAGTGTGCTCCTCTTCACCTCATGGTTGGTTTCAGATGGGTGCAAAGAACTCTACAGTTTACTAACAGCCAGCCCCACAAATAGAACCTGGTCTGTGACAGCCCAGCCCAGCATCTTTCTTTGTTTTTCATGTATAACAACAAGTAAATAAATAACTTTGGAAAGTAAGGGTAGGATTTTGAATACTCAGTGTTGACCTAATCAACTTAAATTAAAAGTCATAGGAATGTTACTTCTAACTCCAGTGAAAATGGAATTAGACCAGCAGAGATTATTTCTCCAAATTCCAACCCAACCTCACTTTTCAGCGTTTCCTTCACCACTCCCTTATTTATACCTGCTCCCATCATATCTTCCATATCTGTTTAACCTCACTGCCTGTACACATTTTTGTAAATATAAGCTTAGTGAAGAACTTAATTGTTCTTGCCAAAGGGGACTAGAACCCAGCTTGGTTTCTCTCTGCTTTATTGGCCATGTAGTAATTAAAAAATAATAAGTACTGGAACTTGGTGGCTCTGGGATAACCAGTTCAGGTTTGGGACAGCCTTGAAGAGGCTTTTCTCTGTACTAGTGACTTGGGGTAGCCAATTGAATGTTAAGAACATTTACCTAGTGCCTGGTGTGTGTTTCCATTTTTTTCCTGCTGTGGTATGTGATCTTCCTTCCTTCCTTCCGCTTTGGATGCACCGGACCAGGCTCGCTTGGAGCTGCGTGGGGCGATCCTGAGCATAAGACTCCCCGGCTTCCTATCTCTTTTCTTTTCTGACTCCCACCTGTCTAAAGGTCTCTAGCCTCAGTTTATCTCGCTTTCTCATTCTTTTCTTGCTTTTTTGTAGCTTCCCCCCCCTTTTCTCTCCTCTCTGTCCCATCTCCCTGTACTTCCAGTTTCTTTGTCTTTACAGCCTTCTTTCTTACTGTCTCTTTCTTTCTCTCTTCTCTTTTTCTGTTTGCTTGTAGCAGGGAGTTATCTTCCATTAGCTTGCCTTCCATGGGGTGCTCTTAATTACCCCTTTCTTTCCCACTGTGGCAGGATGGGACCTAGGGGTGCCGTGACCTCCCCTAGCGCCCCCTACCTACCATGCCAGATCAGGTTTAATGCACCCTCGCTATCTTGCCTGCCACATCTTTGATGTTAATATGTTGAAGGGAGGCTGCCTTTCTAACCTTCTTTGGCATGGTGCCTTGATGTATCCTGGCTCTGCCTAGCTGCTCAGCGCCCTCCAACCTCTGGGGCTGCACATGAGTCCCACAGTCACCCGTGCCCTCACGGGTCCCTGGACTCATCCCCGTTGCCTGCCTGTGCCCTCATGGGCGCCTCCTAGCTTCTCCCGCGCTCTCGCTCCACTGGGGCCTGTGTCACCTCACGATTCCCACAGCCCGCACCGGGGCCTGTCTCACTTCGCGATTCCCGTAGCCTGTACCAGAGGTTCCCGTAGCCTCTCCAGAGGTTTCTCACTTCGCGATTCCTGCAGCCCGCACCGGGGCCTGTCTCGCTTCACGATTCCTGCAGCCCGCACCGGGGCCTTGCCTCGCAATCAAGGCTCAGGTGGCCGCAGCCGTGCCTGGCCTCCAGACCCCCTTTCTGGGTCTTACGCCCCACTGGGGCTTTCCACAATCAGGGCTCAGGCGACCTCAGCCTTACCTGGTCCCCAGACCCCCTTCTCGGGTCCTACGTCCCACTGGGGCTTTCCACAATCGGGGCTCAGGCGGTCTCGGCCTTACCTGGCCCTCAGACCCCTTCCCAGGTCTCGCACCCCACTGGGGCTTCTTGCCTGTGCCCACACTGGGCTCCTCCCGATACTGCCCACACTGGGGCTGGGGTCGGGACACCCCAAAACGCAGTGCCCTCTCCAGCGCCAGGAACCCCTACTCTACTGGGGAGCTCCCATGAGGCCTCCTCCAACCCCTACAGCCTCACCCACTCCTCCGGTGTTACACCACAACAAAACAGAAAACACAAAGCCCCTGGGCTATAACATAAATCCCAAACCACCCTGGCTATCCTTCATGCATCCTCATCAGGGTCTTCTTCCACGCAGTATCACCATACTGCAACTGCTCAGGCCATCAGGCTTCTCTGCTGTGCCTGCCCTGCTTGCTCCAGCAGAGCTCCAGTTTCCTTGGCTGCCAGAGGGGAACTGCCCTCCGGACTCAGCCTGGCTGTTTATATAATCCAGGCCCTGCCCCCTTCCGGTCAGCTGACCAGACTGGTTGTCTTGGCAACCCACACCTTTGCTGCCCTGGTGACTGGCAGCTGAGCCCATATTACTGTCTGTCAGTAGCAGGCGCCATCTAGAGTTTTGTGGCCGCTTTCCCAGACACTTATCTTTTCAGTTAGCATAAACTTTTTTCCTGTTGTTCTTGCTTAGTTATAGTTGGAAATTAACCCTGTTCTGACAGGAATGGCTGT